TTTAAATATAGGGGAGATGGGGGCACATTGATCTGTTTTGAGGTTTTTTTGTAACAACAGTGAAACTAACCAAAAAGTGAATATTAATATTTGTGCAATTTACAGAGGAACATTCATTTAATGTATTAAGTTCAGTTTCAATTGTATAATACAAGAAATTTTTTAAAAAAATTTAACTTTGGTACAACCCCTACAAAGGATCAAAGCACCCCATATACGGGGTACCATGATCCCTCCCATGGGGTACATTGATCCTAGGTATAAATCAATATGATTTGATGTTCATTTGCCTCCAAAAAACTCGTTAAAACACATTGGATATAATAATTCATAATTTTTAATAAAAATTAACATTAATTAAGATCTTTAAAAATTGTCAAATCAACGGGAAAAACCAAGTGACGACTGACTCGAGCAGTCCCACCATGCTGAATTGGATCTGGAACTTTACAAACAATGTCCTCTTTTATAAATTGATATAATTCATCATTTCTACAGATAAAGTTGAATGATGACATCTTTTCCCTTTTCAAGTATTTTACCATTAAATCTCCAGCTTCCGATATTATTTGGCCAATGTAATGAATAACTTTCTTTTTAGTTTTAAATTTTACTACAACATAGTCATTATTTTTTAATGCAGAACAGTCGTAGTCCAGACTTGGGCCTTCTGCTGTCAACTGAGGATTGCTTGCATCACCATCACTGTCATCACTTTCTAGTGTTCCAAGATAATCAACGCTTGACATGGCTTTCTCCGGACCAAAGTTATGCCTTGCACGAACCTTGTGAAGATTTTTGAAGAATTCACTGACATTATATTTATTGAATGCTGTTGCTCTTGCCAGACTAGTCGCTTCAGGTGCACGTAGTGACAACTCGGGTCTTCTTTTCATAAAACCCTGGAGCCAATGAATACCAGCAGTTTTTTTCATTGACCATGAAGATGGGCATGTTATATTATTCGCAACGGCTATATCATATGCGAACTGGCGAGTTGTTTTGGTGGATAGTCCATAGTTCATCTTAGATGCTTGCAGCAAATACTTTGCAAGCATCTCTTCTTGTTCTAAATTGAATACCTGCCTTGTATTCCAATTCGGTATCAAACCTACACTTGGACTGAGACTACTCTTCCGAACATATCGCTTCAATGTCATTCGGTCAATTCCAGTTTCACATGCAACAGCATTGATAGCTCTGTTCTTTTTCAGAACTTCATCAACTGCTGTTCTCATCACTTCAACAGGTGTTTTACCTCGATTAGTTTTTCGCTCCCGATATCTCACCATTATGAAACCAAACCTGCAAAGTACACAAATTACATTTTACAATAATGGAAAAATAGCATTTTGCATGGTTAGAGAAAAATGACTAAACATCCTGGAGAATTATTTCTGAGGACAGTAGGGGCACTTTGATCTTCAGATCAACGTACCCCTTACTAGTACAGATCAAGGAGCCCCCATGGCATGGAGCACACTATAATGGCGATATCTCATCAATAAGTTGTGATTGAAAATCGAAGTAAATAATAAAATAAGCCTCTGACATATCTTTACACATTGCAAAATTTAATTTATCAAACAAATATTTATCTGATTTTTAATTTACAAAACTAACCTGTTGTGAATAGTTGGTTTTTCCCTGTAAAATCAAACTTACGAATTTTTCGAACTTCAGCGGCAGAAAGTCCATAAACAAATAGGATTAAAAGTAGAATAGAAACAAAAGGAAAACTAAAATAGTGATGGCCTACATTTATATTTAGAAATAGCTATGTTATTGCTTAAAGATCAATGTGCCCCAGAGATCAATGAGCCCCCATCTCCCCTATATGGTATGGGCAATTCGTTGCGAAATCGTTGGAGGAAATAGTGTCAACAGTAGTTATTTTACTGCATGGTAGTTAATCAGCCGGTATAAAGGTTACATTCAATTCCTATAAATAAATTTGACAAAATATACACAGGCAGAACCATGGAATTATATAACTGGAAGCGCCCTACCAGCGTTTTAACATTGAAAATTTTTTTTCAACGGGCAAGTTACCTCTGGAAGCAAGTTCCTAAAAATTAATTATTCATGAGCATTTTGGTTTATTTTTAGAAAAATCTGAGATATAATTAGAAAAAATCTTGGCCTTCCCGAAGTTATGTAACGACTCTTTGCCGATCCTGCATTCAACTTGTTTGTTAAAATTTATTTCGTTTTCAACATTCCGTGAAGTTTTAGGTTTTATAAGGTGCCGTATTTAATCGTTAAAAAGATATTGCCATTTTTTTGATGCATCAGAAAACTCGAAGATTTATAAAAGTTCATTAGCGATCCTCATTTTTCTGAAATAAAGATTTCATTCATTTTCCCAGCACCCACGAATCACGATGATGATGGACTTCATTCACTTCATATCATTTCATTAGAGATTAGAGTAAGAATCATTCCTAAATTAAATTAGAATCTAGAAAACGAAAAAAAAATCGGTAAAAATTTTATTGTAAAAATGAAATGTTATTATTATTTAAAAAATATAACTCATAATCAATTTTTATATTGTTATAAAAATAAATAAATTAATCAACTAATAATTTTTAAATTAAAATGTAATTCCTGTGCATATGTCCTAAACTAAAATCTTTCAACACCCCAAAGCTTACAATACAAAGGAATATTTGCTTTCAACATAACACCTAAACCAAATTTAATCACACAGAGGTGGTTTTTAAAATTTCTTTTGGTAGTAAAAGCAAACAATCTTTTTTTTCTGTTTTAACTTTAAATGCTATGATTTATTAATATATTAAATTGATTATATAATTTGTTAAAATCAAATTCTTTAGCTTAATTATTTCAACTGTAATTGACATTAATATATTTACAAAATAATAGTTCGATATTAAGCTAACATGAAATTCATTATGCTATTGATTTAAATTTTATAAAACGAACAACTGTTGATTTTTAATAGAATAGGTATGTAATGTTTAATAATGTAATGTAATGTTTAATAATTTTTAGTTTAACATTACTATTTATAAAATAACCCTGAAGGTGCTAGATCATGAACATGTATATTTTCATATTTATGTGTAAATTGTTATATTTCTTGCTTGTTGATTATAAAACACCTATCTTGCTATAATTAGTAATTAATAACTTAACTCGTAGTTAGATCAGTCCTACTTTTTTTATTTCTGGATTTC